GTCGTAAGTTACTCTACTTTGTCGTCATTAACTTTGTTTATTTGTGCGAAGAGAATTTAAGAGTCCGCGCGTTATTTTTTTTTTTTTTTTACACAGCGGCGTTTTTGTTGAACGACGCTTCGGGCTGGATATTATTGGGAAATTTTGTTTAAATGATATCACACACGCTGATAATAGAGACCTTTTGCAATAACGTGTTTTTTTTTTTTTTTTTTTGAAATACGCTAAACGCTGGCGTCGCGTTAAATCACAATGGGTCGTACAAATAAAATGAAGGTTTCAATTAATTACAAAGTCGACTTCCTTTAATTTATTATTCATTTAATTGAAAAGTGAAATACATGTATATATATATATAGTCGCTTCTATATTGTCCGCTAAAAGCGAAATATTTCGTTTTTTTTTCTCTGCCGATACGACCCAATGCGAATGATAACGCAAGAATTCTCTAATTAATTACAATACAATTATCAAGAATTATTCTTATTTACAACGATAAATATATTTTTCTTGCCTTTTTTTTCTGTATAACGCGATAGTTAGAATAATATATAATCATTGTAACGCGACGATAAGAAGAGTGCGTCGCCGCGACAGTTCGCTGTTCTCTCGGCGTTTACCGTACATATCCGCAAACTAGCGCAAAACTCTCCGATATAGAGCGGCATCGGATTTGATATATCGTTGAGATCGTCACGTCAACGAAGCGATAATATCACTCGAGGTCCTTGTATTCTCTTGTACTTCGGTTATTATACTGTTGCGATCGCAATGACGCGTATTGTGATGTGTGTTTTCTCATTTATTTTTTTTTTTTTGTTTTTTTGTTCTCAGATATGCGTGCGATACATATGTGTACGTACGTCTATATATGGTGTGTGCATCTGCTCTCGATCGCCCTCCTTTATCAACCTCGCGCAATAACAGAGAAAATTCTTAATCTCGATACACATGTGTTTAATATTATATTGACACGGTGCGCGTTTCGAGAAAAGAAACTTGACTTTAAGCTTTTGAAGTTTCTTTCCTTGCAACAAAAAGATGTCGAGTAAAAATAAATTACTCGAGAGAGAGAAAAAATCGACGTATATAAACTTTAATTTTTGTTTTCGAAATTTTTATTTTTGCTCGTTGTTTTTTTTTTTTTCTTGCAATGACGGAAATCATTGACGGAAAACGACAAGAAAACGCAACGATCTTAGCAAAAAGTGTTGTTTCGAAATACTCCGACGAAAAACAAATGCACCGTGACGCGTGCTCTCGTGTACATACGTCCTCTTCTCTCGTCACACCCCAATTGGCCCCAAAAAACTAAGAGGATACCGTGTGTTTTACGCTTTTACGTATATATCTTCACTTCGCTCCTTTTAAGTAAATTGCTCTTTTAGTTTTTCGCTTTTTCGTTTCGATTTCGTATCTCATTTAATTTCGTCATTTTTTTTTTTTTTTATCGAAGCTCGATTTTACAGCACACACACTTCCGTCTCGCCCTCGACAAAAGATTCTCTCCTATTGGATTTGAATCTATTATATCTATATACAGAGAGAGTGTGTTGTGTCCCGGGCGATTTCCGCCGAATTGCGGAATCGCTTCGGCGATAATTTGTCGGTCGATTTGTCATTAAAGAAAGTTCTCAATCGGTAGCTAATCGGTTTCCTCGACGTAACGTTTTGTCGAATCGAAGATTTTTACTGCACGGGCGTTTTTATTCGATGTATGATATTTTTTTATACTTGCCTTTCTCTTTTTTTTTAAATTTGGATGGTTTTCTTTTTTTGTTTTTTGTTTTTTTTTTTTTTAACAAAGCACGAATATCCGAGAGAGAGACTTTCTTCTTAACTTTCGTTAAGATCCTCTAAAATCTAGGTTTGGCGATCTCGGCGTTCTCGTTAAAGAGCAATCGACACCCTCCCTTCCCCCACGTTAGTCGAGGATCCGGGAATCCGAGAGAAAAAACACCTTGTACATACCTATATACACAATCTACCTACTTAGTCGCAAAGATCTACATCTGACAGCCCAAACACGTGCGTGTGATACTTTTGACGTTTCTTGAATTCTTTTCTATTCTCGCGCGGCAGCGGGAGATGGTGGATTGAACTTCACCGTGCTCTTCGCCGTATGATTATTTAAATTCGCCGTATATGATTATTTAACGTTTAGAACACTTTATTGCACTTTTCTTATTACAAAGAAACGTAGTAACGTAGCACGTAGATCTTTATGACGAAGTCTGCGCAATGTATGCTCGTATACAAGGCCTGTTCTACACAGTATGTAAAGTCGTCGTGTTACGCGTATATGTCCATATACGTGTATATAGAACTCCATTTTATAAAACTACTAAGTCTTGTAATATTAACAACCTGGTCTAGAGAAAACATGTTATTGATTTCGCGTAGAATTCGTAACATATTCGCTAGAGAGAGAGAGTCAGTGGTATGATATTATTACACAAGACTCTCGTACTTTTATGAAATTAGGTTTCTGTCTTCGTGGTCTTCTGCGCCGGCCTATTGGTCGAATTGAGACATAAAAGCGACATCCGACTTATTGTAGAACAAGTCTAATAGGTGTTAAAGTGTCGATGCGTGGACGTTTGTGTGTCAGGTGGTGTGTGTTGTTTCATATTTGATATATAATATGTTCTATTCTATTTTTTTTTGTTTTTATTTTTTATTTTTTTTTTTTTATACTCTTTGTCTAACTACTTTTTGAGTGTCTGCGAAACTGGTACTCCCCTCCTCGTAATTGGGAGGTATATGCTACGCGTTTAATCGCGACCGATCAATCTGATATATAACAAGTGATTTAAAAAGTAGCGTAGTAGAGACTTTGTTTGCTCTTTTTTATAATTTTCGTAATAATTTTTATTTTTTATTTTTTTTTGTTAAAATTTGAGGGATATGCCCGCAAAAAATGCTCCACCTCTCCGACTAGATTAATTTTTTTTTTCCTACTAATAATATAGTAGTAATAATAATAATAATAATAATAATAATAATAATAATAATAATAACAATAATAATGCGTAATGTGTTTTACATCTTTATATATCGGAATATAATATCTGAATATAGAAAATCTTATATACATCTTTACACTTAGGAATGCTTTCTCTCTCTTACGCATAATAACGATTATTTAATAAACACGTTACACGCTACGATTTGTTTTTCTTTTACGGCATATCATTTAATAAATTAAGTTTTCTTTCGTAAAAAAGGTGACTCGCGCCCGCGGGGTGTCTCGTGCTTCGCGTCCGAGTGCTCGTCGTGTTTTTTAATAAGTTTTTTCTTTTTTTTTTTTTTTTCAGCCCGCGGATTGACGAGCACAATCTCGTCATATTTGTATACCACGTAATATTATCACAAAAAAAGGAGCGCACACACACGCAACATAGATTTATCATATGGCGCGTACACGCATAGGGTAACAGGCTCGTCGTAATTCGCGGCTGTGTTCGTACATCAGACGCGTCGTGTAATCGTCGAGAGAGAGAGAGATCTCACGCGCGTCGAAACGACTCTCTCGTCAAACTCCCGAGGAATTGAGACGCATGCGGCCAGGATATAAAATGTTTGTTGAATGGATCTCGCTCTGAAGATTGCGCGGAAACCTAAACGTTATCTCTTGTCACGTTATCCGCCGTTCCGCCGAAGGACTCAACTCGGCGATCCGCAGCCGCTGACGAAATTGCGTCGCGCCATTAGGTCGCTCGATTTTTCGACACTCGCGCGACAATCGCTGATCAAAAAAAAAAAAAAAAAAAAAAAAAAAAAAAAAAATTTATCACGGTGTTACCGCGAGAACGATCAAATTCGAAGTCGATTCACCGGAGAGATATGTTACAACGAGTCCGTAGGAGCCGCGAACTACGACGAGCGTGCGCGCGGTTAAAGCTATTGGTAGCTCAATTGTTGCACTTCGTTGCTTGCCAATCCGCGAGCCGAAATTCGAAGTACGTAGGCGAAGCACGAGAGCCACGTGCGGTAACTTGAATATATATCCGATGAATCGACTTTCGTTTTGATCGTTTTTTTTTTTTTTTTTTTTTTGAGGACGATTGCAACGTAACGATTTTGAACCAGGCTGATGCGCAAGCGTCGACGAGGCGCAACGACGTTGCAAGCCTTTTCATTGGAAAACTCGTCCTCGACGATCGCTCTTCTCTGTGCGAGAATCATCCCGATCACCAATGACATCTCGATTCCGGAGACAGTCTGTCGATCGAATCGTCGGTACAGATTCAATGACGAGCCTCACCGTGACAGACTCCGGATTTACGGCACGAAAACGTATCTATCTCTCGTTTACGACGACAATGGCGATAATTACCTAAGATGAAGCGAGGTAAAGCACGCTTAATAATCGCGGTACAGCGATATATATATATATATATTCAACTATGTATTATTAAGTGGTATACAAGGTATACGCACGAGAACGACGTTCGTTCCAACGCGTCGTAATATCAACGAGATATGCTTCTTCGCTGTAATCACGGTCGACGTAAAAGGGAAGGAAAATTCTTCGTGTGTGACGTTCGTTTCGCCGGAAAATACAGGCCGGAGTCGAGAATACCGAGTAAAAAAAAAAAAATAAAAAAAAATTAGGCAACACGAAACAAATTTCGGTTCAACAAACATTTTGCTTCTGTCGAAACCGAATATCTTAGCGAATTGAAATCAAAATTTCGCAATCATTATCGAAAACGAAGACTTTCATCTTTTAATTAATTTTTGTTTTTAGAAAGAAAATGGAAAACACAAAAAGCCGCGAGATAATAAGCCGTCGAATGAGTTTACACGTGTAATTCGTTGGATAAGATTGAATCATCTCTCATCTTCAATAGAGAAAAAACCGAGACTCTTAGAAATGAGTCGCTAGAATTATCGACACAACTATCCCACTAGTAAGTCACTTCTGTTTTAAATATTATTATTAAACATTTTAAATAATTTATATTATTGAATATTATTATTTAAATATTTATATA